CCTTTGTTAACCAGGAGTTTGCAGGAAGTTCTTGAATATGAACATGACGACATTGAAGAAAACCTTCAGTTGTGTTACTCTGTGAGTATTTCCAAAATGTTTGCAGTCATATTCAACAATGACCATCCCTCTTTAACTGATACCTTTTAAGTTAAGAAACAGAATTAGAGCCTTAAAACCACATAAAACTAGAGCCAATAAGACTGAAAGCTCACAAAATGTTGAGGAGATATTTGCATGGCATTGAAAAGATAAGTCAGCAGAAGATGAATTGTTCTGGGATACCATTTTAAAGATGGAGTACCACAACTGAAAAGACATGGCTTATATTTATTGCATTGGCATTAGTGAGGTGCCAATGCAGGACGATTACAGCACTCCTCTGCCTGTACTCAGTATTTCTGCAAAATTTGGTACAACTTTAAAGCCTTAAATAAAAAACAAAACAATAACCAAATAGAAGCAAATGCAATACAGAAATTACACTATAAAGAATTCAACCTATTGTTCCCTCCTAAATATGTAACTGAAAATACCTTACTCAAAGTGAAAGGAGCCTGTTCCTTAGCCCTGGCAACTACAACTCCTCTCCAGCCCCAGCTCTGTTTTCTTTTTGAACTCAGCCAGAGAGTACAGCCTCTACTTAGGTTTTCCCCACATACTGATCCAAACTGATACTCATAGGGGTTACACATACATTTCTGTATTTATTTAAGATTCTTATTGTCTTTTAAACAGTTTCAAGGTGTTTTACAATAAAAACAAACACCGCTGCTAAAATTATAAAGAAATCAGCTAAAATGATAAAGAATAAAGTAAAAAAACTCAGTAGTCCATTAAAAAGGGGATAACTGGTGATCTTAACAGTCATGATAGTGACTGAGAAAACAGACTGGACTCTGGTTGCCAGCACCACTCTGGTTGTCCACCACTGGGAGCCTTCCAATCTCAACAAGGAGACTGTTCATGGATGACACAACATGGATGACAAGTTCTCTCTTAATCTATATTGTAAACAGTTTTGATTCCCATTAGGGAGAAAAGGAAGGTATAAATAAAATAAACTGTATGAGTCTTGCTAAGCAGAGTCTCCCCTTGCCAGAAAAGAAGGTTATTCATGGCAAAATAACAGCCTGAAAAGGGGTAAAATAAGAGAGAAAGTCTTCCTTTAAAAACAAAAAAAGGACATGTCATGGTCTCATGGATGCTATTCTTACTCTCTAGATGGGAGTGACATTTTAGAAGTTTGTAGTGTCTTGGACATTTGAAAAGACATCTCTCCAAGATCCTGGAAATTTGTCACTGCACAGGATTGTCAAGTCTTTGGACCATTGGTTGGGCTTGATAGAATATTGTTTGTTGCATTTAGCATTTCAAAGCAAAAATTAAAAAAGACTTACCTGCCTAAGTAGCCCTAGAATAAAATGTTTTTCAAGGCTGCATCTTTACCTAATGACTATTGTTATCACATCCCCTGTAAATTGAAGGCTTTTTGAGTTAGTTATTGTGAGTTTTCAATACCAATCAGTAAATTGGTGGTGGCTTATTTTTAGTTTCTTGTAAACATTTTTTTTTTGCAGATATACTGGGACAAAGTGAAGGTGGACTTAATTCCAAATGGCAGTACAGTTGCTGTGAGCAATAGAAACAAGTATGTAATGATGATTTATTATTTTTGTAGGTTTGCATTGATTCCAATCTCAGGGGCTGTGGGTGGATTACAGCTGTGCTTGGTGGCAATTATGGGAGTTGAGGTCCCAGCTGAAAGACACTGGGTTGGAGAAGGCTGATCTGAAATCAAACATGATGCATGGAAAAGGGAAAACTGGGCTTGAGAGAGATTATACATGTCTAATTAGAATTTAAGCAGTCCAGTCTCTGTTCATATTTTTCTGGTCCCTTCTCTTGGTCAAAACAGTTTTTCACTATCTAGTTTTGTTATCCAATTCCACCTGTCAAAATGTTTAGGGTCACTGAATATTATGCTACATGCTCTATAAGAATATTAATTTTAGGAGATAATATTTTTTCTGAAAAAGAAAATGAATCACACTAATAAGCAAGCATAAAGCAATCCAGGCTAAACTATATGAGACAATTGATAGAGTGAGTACCTGGTTTGGATTAATGCGATCTGAATTCCAGTCTTAATAAATTTGCAAAACTAGCAGCTTGCATTTAAGAAGAGAGACTTTTTGTGTCATTTTGTTTTTTAACATAACAGAGCTGTGGTGTTCTTAGTGTCTTGTGAGCAAACTAATAATTTCTACATATTTCTTTTCAAAGGAAGGATTTCGTCAACAAGTATGTGGATTACATTTTCAACAAATCTGTGGATGAAGTTTTTGGAGAGTTCAGGAGAGGGTTTTACAAAGTCCTTGATAAAAAGATAGTCAGCCTCTTTGAAGCTGAAGAGTTGATGGAAGCAACATGTGGAAATGCAAATTACGACTGGGACTTGTATGAAAAGGTTGGTGGTGGGAAAAGTGAATTTCCTGTCTAGATCATGTTGAGCAATCTCAATGGCTGATGGCTACTTACACATTATGGTTTTTGCTGAATGTAATGGTGGATGTGGTTGTATATTTGTAGAGTTAAAGAGGTATTTCATTTATAGTGTTTTTATGAATCAAAGGCAGTTAACAACATCATCATGCAGAGAGATGTGATCTGAATTATTTTGGGAGATGTTGGTGTGAGAATTTATATTTGTGTGGGCCCTTTCACACTACACAATTACAATGGTCATGGCAACATCCTATGGAATCATGGGATTTGTATTTTTGCAAAGGATACTTTGAATTCTAAAGCAAACAGTTCTATG